CGATTGCCACATGTGGGCTGTTCTCAATGAACAGTAGATTGGACACAGGTCATCAATGTTGATAATCTCACCAAGGAAGGATTGGACTGCAGTGTGGAGTCTGTTGTGGTGCTGGATTACAGGTAAATGTAATCGCTTTATTTTAATTTTAATTTTTTTAATTTAAAGAAAGTTATGGGGGACCATTAAACTAAAGAAGTAAAGAAACACATCTAATTTAAATATTATGTTCATTTAATGAAAGTTACAGTTCTGGCGTCTGATTTCCATTATTTCTGCCCTTTGTCCTAAAAGGCAGAAACCCTAACACTAACATAAACAATCCACCAGTACAATAGATATGTAAAGCTGAAGCATGTATTGTGGGGAAAAATTACATCTATGGGTTCAAGAGGCATCCATGAACCACTCAACATTTGGTCTCAATGTTTCTCTAGAACCTCTCCGGTATCCCATAATACACACTTCACCATTATATATCGTTTATATTCCTGATATCCTAATTATTTTTGTATACATATATATGTGTTTTATTTTATTCTGCTCTGTTTTTGCAGGGGGGGTGTATTCACACCAGGAGCAGCATTCTCGAAGACCAAGCTTATTGAACGCCTTAACAAAGCTGGTCTGCACTTTAAAGTAATCAGCACTTTGGGTCCCTGAATGCTGTGAAGCTGATGCGCTGCATGGGGGGAACTAATGGCTCACGGAAGAGATCTTTAAAGGCATTTAATTGTTTAAATTTTTTAAGTACAAATAGACTAATTAAATAACTGCATTAATAAAATTTTATATTCAAACTGCAAAATAAAATGCTTGTTTACTCTTATTCAACCATAATATTATTTCCTCTAATTGTAGAGAAGAGAAATTCACTACAACTTAACTGCTGATTAAGTGATTTGACTACTTGATGATCTGTTGTATTTATCTTCATGTTCAAATTGTTTTAGTATTTTTAAATCTTTCTGCAGCATAACCCTGCCCAAATTACTCAACTTGATTGGCGCATTCACAGCAATCACGTGCATATGGTGAACAGGAAAAGCTGAGTACCCTTTATTTCTTCCATTGAGGATAAGGGTGACTGGCATGTATTGGGCTGAAGGAACACTCTGTAACGACTAATAAAGGATAGTCATATTATTTTATGGATAAAATATTTTACCAGGAAAGATGCATTGAGATTTCTCTAGTTTTAAAGTCTGTCCTGGGTCCACAAAACATTGCATTGATACAGTAGGGTACAATAAATGTTAATACACAATATATACAAAATGTAACATAGAACAGGTAGGAAATATATAATCAACCATGACATGTGCATTCTGTTTTGAGATATGTAGAGAGGGATCTCTTAGGCTTGGGGAAGATTTGAATGTGTGCGGGAGGTCGTTCCATGATGGTGCTCTGTAGGAAAAGGAGGATTGAGCTGCTTTCTTCTTGTATTGAGGTAGACTAAATAAAGTGCTGGTACTGGATCAGAGGTTAAAGGAGGTGGGAACAGCCGGGGAGAGCATTTTGCTCCGGTAGGGTGGGAGCTTCCCAGAAAAGCTCTTAAACACAAGGCTGGAAAGATGAAGGGTGCGTCTGGATTCCAGCGACAGCCAGTTAGTTCTTTTAGCATGTCACAATGGTGGGGCAGCCTATAGATTAGTGAAGTGAGGCATGGGGGGGTGAGCAGCCTATAGATTAGGGAAGTGAGGCATGGGGGGGCAGCCTGTAGAGGGAAGTGAGGCGGGGGCAGCCAGATTAGGAAGTGAGGCATGCGGCTGGGATTAGGGAAAGGCATGGGGCAGCCTATAGATTAGGAAGTGAGGCATGGGGGGCAGCCTATAGATTAGGGAAGTGAGGCATGGGGGCAGCCTATAGATTAGGAAGTGAGGCATGGGGGGCAGCAGGGCGGGCAGCCTATAGTAGGGAAGTGAGGCATGGGGGGGCAGCCTATAGATTAGGGAAGTGAGGCATGGGGGCAGCTTATAGATTAGGGAAGTGAGGGATGGGGGAGACAGCCTAAATGAAGAGTCAGGAAGGTAAAGTAAGAGAAGGAGAAGGAACAGAAATGAGCAGAAAGGGACAGAAGGAGCACAAAGGTAAAGGAGCAGAAAGAATCAGAAGGTGCACAAAGTAGGAGAAGGAGCAGAAAATAATCAGAATTAGAAAGGAGCAGAAGGGCGCAAAATAAGAAGACAGTAGCAGAAAGGTAAATGAGCAGAAGGAGCCAAGGATAGAAGACAGTGTCAGAAGAAAAAGAAGACTGTCAAATGTAGGAGAAGAAAAGGATATTGGAGCAGGAAGGACAAATGAAGTGAACCCTCCACTTTAATCTGGACACCACATCATAAGGCTTTGGTACCTGGGCCTGGCAGGGAAACTCTGGACCTTCTCATCCCCCAGGTAAAAAAAAAAAATATCTGTGTTAATGTGTTCACTTTTATTTACTGAGTGTCAGGAAGCACAGAGTGCCGCTGGGTAGGGGTGTTGCTGATTGGCTAGAGCAGTCAGCTGGCACTGTAAGCCAATCAGTAGCTCCCCATTCATAAAAAAGTTAAACATTTTTATGAACCGGGAACTAGCGATTGGCTTAGAGCGTCAACTGTCCACTCTAGCCAATCCGGGGCACCCATGCCTGACGTCAGTCTGCACTTCCTGACACTCCGTTTCAGAAGCCAAATACCACTGAGCGACCTGGAGCTGGAGGAAGTCTTTGGGGTTAAACCATTTGAGAGCGTTTTGACCCCTTAAAGGAAAGAGAGCACACAGGGGCTTCCTGGCATAGCATTTTCATTTAGATGAAGTTGTTATGGTGACCAGAATGTTCCTTTAATTTGCTTAAAGGAACACTATAGTGTCAGGAATACAAATATGTTTTCCTGACACCATAGTTGTGAAAACGCTATTCACCCTGGCTTTATGTGATAATGACTATACCCCTTCCCTTTCATGACACTGTCAAAAAGGGACCAAGCATGGATGTCATTACAATTATACCACCCCCCACCCCCCACGGAATAATTCCTGCGGACGCCCATACTGGCCTTATCTACAGGCCAGTGGGTACATGGGAATCCAACAACCTCCAGTCTGCCCTAACCGACACAGACACTGTAGACAATTTATTACAGATAGAACAAGAGCAAGGCTTTGTCCTAGGTCCATTTACCGAACCCCCGTTTTCTAACTGGAGAACAAACCCCACTGGATTGGTTCTGGGGAAAACATCACACAAACAGAGGCTCACAATAGACCTATCAGCACCACATTCTTCGGTGATACCAAGCCTTAATTCCCTCATCCCGTCAGAAGAATTTTCGTTACAGTATTCTACCATAGATGATGCCATAGCCGCCATCATCTCAACAGGGAAACTGATATCGTAAATGCTTTCAAATTACTCCCCATCCACCCGTCGCTATGGCACTTGCATGGAATCAAATGGAGGAGCCCGTATTACTTTTTCACAAGGCTCACTGGATCCAAGAGCAGTCCTAAGATCTTTGATAATTTTGCGGAGACCTTGTGCTGGCTGCTCCTGAATACCAGTAGGTGCCATAGCGTCAATTCAGCCCCCCCAAGCAGTCTACACAAAGCAATAAACTTGTTCGACTCTATAGGGGTTCCAGTATCTCCAACAAAGACGGAAGGACCAGACACGGTCATTCAGTTCTTGGGGATACAACTAGATTCCATAGCGATGGAAGCCAGCCTCCCACAAGACAAGATCCATAACATCACACAGACCATTCAACCGCATTTACGGATGCTATGGAGCTACAGTCACTGATTGGCTCTCTGAATTTTGCCATGCATATTATACCTCAAGGCAGATCATTCATATCAAGACTCCTTTGCCTTCTTCCTACACTTCCTGATGAACACAAACGTACCACTCTTAACCAACAAGCCACTGCAGATTTACACATGTGGAACTTGTTCCTAGCAAACTGAAATGGCAGGAGCATGTTCCTCCCACAAATCTCAATAGATTCCCCCACCATATGGACCAACGCAGCAGCCTCCACAGGGTTTGCGGCCATTTTTGGGGACAATTGGCTTTGGGGGAGGTGGCCGGTAGAAGGAAGTCAGATCGAAGGGTTCTATAAGAACTCCGCACTCTTTGAGGTATATCCCATCGTAGCCGCAGCAGCAACATGGGCTCATTTATGGGCAGGTAGACCGGTTCGATGTTTCTCTGACAATTTGTCATAAACAAAGCATCCCTAAGCATTATGAAATTCATCAGACGACTAATGTGGTTGGCAGCCAGTCACCAATTTTATCTGGTATGTTACCACGTACCAGGTATTTACAATACAGCTGCTGACCAACTATCTTGTCTTCAATTTCAGGCGTTCAGGAGGTCCCTACCAACAGCCTCACTGATAGCTACGACCGCCCCCCCAGCTCCAGGAATTAATCATACAATAGAAGAGTTGCTAAGTCACAGCAGGGAATTGACTAAATTGGCCCTCTCCAAGAATATGCACACTGCTTATGACAGAGCTTACTGCTTATATAAAAAGTTCATGTCAGATCGCCACCTTACCAACTGGTTTGATAATACAACTTTGGTGGCTTTTGACACTTTTTGCCACATCAAACTTAAAATGTCACATAACACCATAAAGTTATATCTCACAGGTATCCAACACCACATGCTCTCAGCTCATCCCAACAAACAAGGATTCCTCACATCCTACGTGATAAAAAGCCTCCTTAGGGTATACTCAAATCCAGGGGCGGACTGAGAGCCTTTGGGGCCCCCGGGCAAAATTAGATCCCAGGCCCTTTGAAGGCCAAATATATGTGCATTTTAATAAATGTTAAATATAATTCATAATACGGCATTCCTTTGGATGTGTGTATTGTGAAGACCTGTGTATCAATGCATGTTTGTATTTGAGCCTGTGTGAATGCACTTGTGCATGTCTGGATGACTACATGTGCTTTTTTGTATATAGTGTCTGTGTGAATGCATATGTGACAGGTGACAGAGTGTGTGAGGGAGAAGGTGACAGGTGGAAGAGTGTGGGAGGTTGTGACAGGTGGCAGAGTGAGGGGGTACCTGGTGGCAGAGTGAGGGAGGGGTTGAGTGGTGGCAGAGTGAGGGGGAGACACAGTGAGTGGGGGTGACTGGTGACAGAGTGAGGGAGTGGGTGACTAGTGACCCCCTTACTCTGTCACTGTGTTACCCCCTCCCTCTGTCACTAGTCACCCCCTCTCTCCGTCACTAGTCACCCCATCCTTCTCTCTGTCACTAGTCACCCCATCCCTCTCTCTGTCACTAGTCACTCCCTCCCTAACTCTGTCATTGTGAAGGAAGGAAGGGGTGACTGGTGACAGAGTGAGGGAAGGGATGACTAGTGGCAGAGTGAGGGAAGGAAGGGATGACTGGTGACAGAGTGAGAGAGTGGGTGACTAATGACAGAGTGAGAGAGGGTGTGACTAGTGACAGAGTGAGAGAGGGGGTGACTGTCACTAGTCACTCCCTCCCTAACTCTGTCACTGTGTCACCCCCTCCCTCACTCTGTCACTAGTCACCCCCTCTCTCACTATGTCACTAGTCACCCCCTCTCTCACTATGTCACTAGTCACCCCCTCCCTCACTATGTCACCCCCTTCCTCACTCTGTCACTAGTCACCCCCTCTCTCACTCTGTCACTAAGGACAGAGGGGGTGATTAGTGACAGAGTGAGGGAGGGGGTGACTAGTGACAGAGTGAGGGAGCAGGTGACACAGTGACAGAGTTAGGAGAGAGTGACTAGTGACAGAGGGATGGGGTGACTAGTGACAGTCACCCCTTCCCTCACTCTATCACTAGTCACTCACTCTGTCACCTGTCACTCCCTCACTCTGTCACTAGAGTGAGGGGGTGACTAGTGACAGAGTGAGGGAAGGGGTGACTAGTGGCAGAGTGAGGGAAGGAAGGGGTGACTACTGACAGAGTGAGGGAGGTGGTGACTGTCACTAGTCACCACCTCCCTCACTCTGTCACTAGTCACCACCTCCCTCTGTCACTACTCCCTCCCTCCTTCTGTCACTAGTCATCCCCTCCCTCACTCTGTCACCAGTCATCCCCTTCCCTCACTCTGTCACCCCCTCACTCTAGTGACAGAGTGAGGGAGGGGGTGACTAGTGACAGAGTGAGAGAGAGGGTGACTAGTGACAGAGTGAGAGAGAGGGTGACTAGTGACAGAGTGAGGGAGGGGGTGACTAGTGACAGAGTGGAGGTGGTGACTGTCACTAGTCACCCCCTCCCCTCCCTCACTCTGTCACTAGTCACCCCCTCCCTCTCTCTGTCACTAGTGACACCCTCCCTCACTCTGTCACTAGTCACACCCTTCCTGTCACTAGTCACCCCCTCTCTCACTATGTCACTAGTCACCCCCTCCCTCACTATGTCACTAGTCACCCCCTTCCTCACTCTGTCACTAGTCACCCCCTCTCTCACTCTGTCACTAAGGACAGAGGGGTGATTAGTGACAGAGTGAGGGAAGGGGTGACACAGTGGCAGAGTTAGGAGGGAGTGATTAGTGACAGAGAGAGGGATGGGGTGACTAGTGACAGTCACCCCCTCCCTCACTCTGTCACTAGTCACCCCCTTCCCTCTCTCTGTCACTCCCTCAATCTGTCACTAGTGTGAGGGGGTTACTAGTGACAGAGTGAGGGAAGGGGTGACTAGTGGCAGAGTGAGGGAAGGAAGGAGTGACTAGTGACAGAGTGAGGGAGGTGGTGACTGTTACTAGTCACCACCTCCCTCACTCTGTCACTAGTCACCACCTCCCTCTGTCACTACTCCCTCCCTTCTTCTGTCACTAGTCACCCCCTCCCTCACTCTGTCACCAGTCATCCCCTCCCTCACTCTGTCACCAGTCATCCCCTTCCCTCACTCTGTCACCCCCTCACTCTGTCACTAGTCACCCCCTCACTCTAGTGACAGAGTGAGGGAGGGGGTGACTAGTGACAGAGTGAGAGACAGGGTGACTAGTGACAGAGTGAGGAAGGGGGTGACACAGTGACAGAGTGGGGGAGGGGGTGACTAGTGACAGAGTGAAGGAGGTGGTGACTGTCACTAGTCACCCCCTTCCTCTCTCTGTCACTAGTGACACCCTCCCTCACTCTGTCACTAGTCACCCCCTCCCTCACTGTCACTAGTCACCCCCTCCCTCTCTCTGTCACTAGTCACACCCTCCCTCACTCTTTCACTAGAGTGAGGGGGTGACTAGTGACACAGTGAGGGGGGTGACTAGTGACAGAGTGAGGGGGTGACAGAGTGAGGGGGTGACAGGTGACAGAGTGAGGGAAGGGGTGACTAGTGACATAGGGAAGGAAGGGGTGACTGGTGACAGAGGGAAGGAAGGGGTGACTGGTGACAGAGTGAGGGAGGGAGTGGGTGACCAGTGACAGAGGGAGGGGGTGACACAGTGAGGGAGGTGGTGACTAGTGACAGAGTGAGGGAGGTGGTGACTGTCACTAGTCACTAGTCACCACCTCCCTCACTCTGTCCCTCGTCACCCCTCCCTCTGTCACTAGTCACCCCCTTCCTCACTCTGTCACTAGTCACCCCTTCCCTCCCTAACGCTGTCAACTAGTCACCACTTCCCTCCCTCACTCTGTCCCTAGTCACCCCTCCTTCTGTCACTAGTCACCCCCTTCCTCACTCTGTCACTAGTCACCCCTTCCCTCCCTAACGCTGTCAACTAGTCACCACTTCCCTCCCTCACTCTGTCACTAGTCACACCCTCCCTCACTGTCACTAGAGTGAGGGGGTGACTAGTGACAGAGTGAGGGAGGTGGTGACTGTCACTAGTCACCACCTCCCTCTGTCACTACTCCATCCCTCCTTCTGTCACTAGTCACCCCCTAACTCACTCTGTCACCAGTCACCCCCTCCCTCACTCTGACACTAGTCACCCCCTTCCCTCTCTCTGTCACTCCCTCAATCTGTCACTAGTGTGAGGGGGTTATTAGTGACAGAGTGAGGGAAGGGGTGACTAGTGGCAGAGTGAGGGAAGGAAGGGGTGACTAGTGACAGAGTGAGGGAGGTGGCGACTGTTACTAGTCACCACCTCCCTCACTCTGTCACTAGTCACCACCTCCCTCTGTCACTACTCCCTCCCTTCTTCTGT